AAGAGCAGGTACAAACATATTGAGTTATAATGTAGAAAATATACGAGGTGATTTGTCCCCAAAGCCAAAACGAACGATTTGTCAAAACAAAACCCTTTTTTATTTGTGGCATCAGTACTCACCCGTGCCGACGGACGGTAAGATGCATTTACACATATACGGTGCGACTTCACACGTTGTTTTTTGTAATTTAAGAAAAAATGCTAGCAATTGGCAAAATAAGAGAATCTGCTATGTTCTCGAAAGAATAGACATAACAAATGGATAAATTGAAAAAAGTATGTGGAAAAGATAACTAAAATATTATTCAATTACAAATACTCGCGGTAAACTAATCCGGCAGCCATGTTTGATGTTTATTACCGCTTTCCAAATTCAGTACACGAACACCCAGAATGCGCTGTTCCCCTATGCAACTTAGATACTTAATCGTTACAGTGCCAACAGCGGTGGATGGCCGATGGTCGTTGAATGGGGTAGGCCAAAAGGTAACCAATTTGCCTTCTCCATGCTGTTTTCACAATGAAAATCGAGCGAACGTTGTAAATATGGCTAGAATTTTAATTTTTGTTTGAGTTTACATGCAATCTGCTAATATATTTGTTTATTTTCTGTGCATAAACATTTCGTTCGTATTTACTTCTTTCTTTCGTGATCGGCGACAATGAATTCAGGCAATTGACATATTGCCATGAATACACTTGATAACTGCTTGCAGACTTCCAGTAGTCATTGTTTATGTTTAGACTCTTGAAACAATAGCAAAATAAAGGTTTGGGTAACTACTCTTTTGTTTAGGCTTGGAAAGAACAATGCAAGCTTTTTAAAAATAATTTCAGCTGGATGTACGTTGGTGGGCGGGTGTTGAGAGTTACTGGGCGGCCGTATAACTTGATGGGCTAAAACCCCTTGTGGAGAACACTGTTGAAATGTGAAGATTACTACTTGAAATATCAAAAGCTGAAAATTAATTAATTATGCAAATTAGGTAATTAATATGTACTGATATTACACTAAAAACTATCAGGCCTGTGCAGTGTCCTATGACATTTATGTACAAGTTTTATTGAAATGTGATAATTACTACTTGAAATATCAAAAACTGAAAATTAAATAATTATGCAAATTAGATAATTAATATGTACTGATATTACCCTAGAACTACCAGGTCTGTGCAGTGTTCTATGATATCCATGTACCAAGTTTTATTGAGATGTGATGATTAGTACTTGAGATATCAGTGGAAAAGCCAAAAATTGATTTATCATTATGCAAATTAGGTAATTAATATTGCACCGATTTTTACCAAAACCTAATCAAATCTGCGCATT